CCACCGCCACCTTCCCTACCAATCCCTCGTCCACGGCGAGCAAACTCACCCAATTTCCTTTATCCCGCCTTTACTCGAAATTACTCGCGATTTTTTCTGCCTTTCATTAGATTTTTCTTATTTTTTTTAATATCATCGTACTTTTTAATTTATTCCTCCGCTAAGAGAGTTCCTTAGTTCCCTTCACGCGCTGAGCCGGAAAGAGTAAACGAACCCAAGATTTGTATTTACCCCGCGTTGCCGCGTTAAAAATGAAGAGGTTGAAAAATTGTCGGATAGTATAGCGTCATTTCGTGGATGCAAAGAGAAATTAATCGCTCCTTCGGTGATTAAAAGTATAACCTTTTTTTAAACTTTCAGAGAGTTTTTCCTCCGAGGATTTCTCACTTTAAAGGCAAATTTCACCTCACCCGTCTTAATTTGCTCGACAAATTCATAATATTCAGCCTCGAAAAAAATCTTCACCGTGATACCGCGGAATTAGTACTTTCCAGTAAAAAATTAGTATACATAGAGAAAATTCCTCAATCATAAAACGTACTAATATTAGTCCCATGCCCCTACTGTTTATCAGAAAGAAAGGAGGAATAAAAAGGGAAGGAAGAAGGAAGGTGGCTGGAGGAGAGACAAAGGAAGAACGCTTAATTTTAGTAAATATCCATGGCAATACTGTTTCAAACTGCATTTCAGATGCTTTAAAATTTCGAAAATTTTCTCAGGGAAGCCCCCGGACCCTTCTCCCGCCCACGCGCTTTCAAAGCGTCTGGATCCGCCTTTTGTCAGACGTGCAGTTTAAGGCCTACTTTACACCGAAAATAGTTTTTCTCGACTCATAATTTGTGAGAAGAGAGAAGGTTAATTTGGGTACCGTGGCGGTCAGGCGTAGCAGAACACCAGAGAGCGTTATAAAAGCGACTGTATGGGCCGAGTTCATCAGAAAGGAATCAACCCACATTAAGTTGAAATTGAGAAACAGAGAACGTTTTATTCCTGCATAAGGTTCTACATAAAAAATAAACTTTAACCCTCTTTTCACAAAACAATTTTCGTTTTTAGACTTTCAGTTTTTGGGAGGAGAAAATATACGGCTAGTTAAATTCAGAAACATTCTTAACTCAATTTTTTCGGGAGTGTGGGTTAGTTCCTTTCTGATAAACTCGGCCCATATTATGTATACGTGTCGCAAGCAATTAGCAATCGCCGGTAATTTGCAAGCAGTTCGCGTGATGTTTCGATAACTCGCAATAGTACGCATCGACATAATACAATTTTTTAGGATTATGGTCTTCAAAAGTATCAGATCGCCTTGGAGCGCCTTCATTTTTGTGATACTCTACGCTTTGTCATGAAGTTTGTTTAGTTGCCAGTCCGATCTGAACCCAATTAATGTCAAGGTGCTCACTACACGCTCTTCTGAGAGTTCCTATTTCCACTATGTTCTTACGGTGGGAAAAGTGCTTATTTACACTATAGGCAATATAATCAGCTCTCTAATCTTCTTATTTTGTTTTTGAATTTTATGCTTTCCTACATTTATTTACCACTAGCTTGAAAATTTCCGAATTGTCTGTGACTTATGCATGTTTGAGAAAATTAATTTTCCAAAAATAAGACGCGGCTCCTTTTTGTTGAATCGAGGCGGCTTGAAGTGCATCGTGGAATCGAAACACGAAAATCGCGCCTTGTACAAATACAGACTTTATTGGAGCCACGCAATGTGTAACCACGAAATTTGTTGTAGCCCATATAAAAGGAAGCGGATATCCTATTTAGGTTGAGGCCGGGGGCCCGGGCACCCGGTAGTGCGGGAGTTGGGATTCGGTGACGTGCCATATCGCTCCCTGGATCTGCGTCCTCCGACGTCCAAGCGAGTCGAGGCTGGCGTCTGCCCCTGTTGGGCAACAAGGGATCAGATTGCTAACGGTGATCTCTCTTCAATCTTCGTCTCGCGAGCGTGTGACTCTACGCGACGCGACGCCCCGATGTTGACTCTATTTGACCTGACCTCCGTGTTGCCACTATTACCCAAAAAAGTTCACCCTTGTACACTTGGAAGCCAGTATCACACGATCGAACTGCGTTATCGAACTGTCAAGGTCAAATGCTGTGATTGGTCCAAGTCACCGAATACAAGCCAATCATAACACCTGACCTTCATATCGTCACCTTCCGGCCAAAGTATCACAAGCGCCATGCGAAATTTCAAAATTTTCACCGTCATTTTAAATTTTTACAGAAAAATTGTTCGATGAAGCTCTCCAAAAAGTTCACTGAGTTTTCTTTGTACTGCCGATAAAATCCAGTGAAATTCCCAAACAGATTCAACAGAAGATTTCTGCGTTAAAAAATAAATGGCGAAAAGTTTGATGCGTCGCATGGCGCTTGTGATACTTTGGCCGAAAGGTGACGATATATTGATGGCACAGTTTAAGATGTGTGAGACTGGTTTAAGAGTAGTGCAGCCTGCCCATGGTATTTGCTAGAAAAGACGCAGGAAGCACCTAAATATCCGCATATGATTAGTAGAAATTTTGGAAAATTATCTTCAAAACGGGGTTGTTGCACAGTTTTTTTCTGTAATACGGATCGAACACCGGAATATCCGAAATTTTCGCCAAAATCGGGCTTCAGACCGCACTGCGTTTGACGCAATGCGTAAAGTATTCAGGCAGTCTTGTAGGCGCTATCCGTTTCACGCTGACTGCACTGTGTTTGACGCAATGCGTGAAGTATTCAGGCAGTCTTGTAGGCGCTATGCGTTTCACGCTGATCGCACTGTGTTTGCCGCAATGCGTGAAGTATTCATGCAATATTGTAGGCGCTAATATGAGTTACATGCCGACCGCCACGCCGAGGCCGAGGGCTTCTCCTTTTCATCTCAAGTCCTCGTCATCATTGCTCTCTGCGCTGTGCCGCTCCAGGCCAAATTGCGTGTTCAGTTTCTCTCTTAACTCGACTAATTAAAGGTGCTGTCTCTTGTATCACCGAAAGACATGCAGTAAAATTAGAAACTACTACACTTTCAGGAGATGAGAGATTTTGTCGCCTTTTCTCGTTTCCTGAATCTGATTTTTTTTTATACCCATATCTTAAAAAATTGCAAAATTTGCCGCCTCCTAAATTTGCCGCCTTGGGCCGCGGCCCATGTGGCCACCCCCTAAATCCGGCCCTGCTAATAATATCTGTGAACAGCCTGCTTTTTAACGTAGTCCGAAGTATCGTCCGCTATCATTAGTTGCGTGTAATCGTCCGAGAGTGTGATTGTGCGAGCTTTTAAGTCTTTGAAACAATAATACTAAAACCTATTGGAATAGGGCTGAAATATACATATCGCACTTTGTTCTATGTTAATTATTAGAAGAGTTATTTTTCTATGTTACCAGGTGCCTGAATATGACGTCATGGACGGAAAGGTGGTGTATATATCGGTGGATGACCGGTTAGAGACTCTTCATCTTCCCTCTGACGTCACGCCCGATCAGATACGTGGTAAGAACTTCTGACTGACTTTTTACATTAAATTTACCTAGCCTAACCCAACCTCTCTTCTCGTGTTTTCGACCTGTCAATGATTTTTTTTTCCTATTCGGTCATCGCTCATGACTGCTACAATATAAGAGTGCGCTTCTTAAATCCGAATAAAATGAGGAGATATGACAGTTCAATTATTTTATCTTGGAAACTGTCTCTTGACTTATTGCAGTAAGAGCTTCCGAGAAGTACACCAGCATCTTGCAAAAATATACAGATACTTGCTTCAATTTCTGCTGCGTATTTCCTCAATAAGCTTGCTTACTAATATGTTGTTCATCTCAAAATATTGTATATTTTACATACATTAAGAATAGTGCTGGGAAAATTACAATCTATTACGATTTTATCTCGATTTGAGGTCACGAGAAGAAATTGCATGTTCCAAAACTTGTCACACGAAATGTTGCAACTTATGCTCCATTAATCCCATTTTTTGCCATATCAACGCAAAATACCGCGATCATTTTTGCGCCTTCAAATAGGAAGATAGGCCATTTGCACAGCTTGATCCTAACTTTAAATTAATTGACGATATTTTCGCAACATATGGCGATCTCTACTATACTTGAGCATGTTTGATGAATTTCGGAAAGTATACTTACCCAACTCTAAAATGAATAAAGGCATTAAATCGACGATTTGTTTCTATTTTCCCATTAGTCATTTTCAGATTTAGCATAGTAATGCAGCAAAAGTCAGTTTACCAGCTTGAGTATCAAGGGCTTTTAATTTCGATGAGTTTTCGCAAAGATATCACGTGGTAGCGCCTTCATAAGTACGTTAAGTGCCGATTACTGCATTTTGCGCATAAGTGTAAGTGTATACAGGGTGATCCAAAAGTCCCTTTCACCCCCTCTAACTTTTTACCTAATTGAGGTAAAGATTTGAAACTTGGGGGATATTCCTAGGTCAAAGGGAGCTACTTTTTGGCCCCCCTAAAATTTTCAGGGGGGCCCCCCCTTGGAGGGGCAACGGCCCCCAACTTTTAATTTTCAAATAGGAAGACCCCCTTTGTGATAGCTCGTTTGAAAGAGCATAAAAAAAGAAAACTTTTCGCGCAAACCCGAAGTCAATATCTCAAACCATTTCAAAATGGCGGCCGGTTAAAGTTCAAAATGGCCGAAAATTCACACCGATTATTTGTCGATGGATTTGCGCGAAAATCGGTTTGTAGGGGTATTTTGACACGAGAAAAACGAATTTGACGTTAGATTTTTTTAAAAAAAACCGAAATTTCCAAAATGGCCGCCGGCTAAAGTTCAAAATGACCAAAAATTGATTTTTTTAGAAATCCAAGTTAAAATTTGTTTATCTTATGCCCCTTAGGGGGGCCAAAAAGTAGCTCCCTTTGACCTAGGAATATCCCCCAAGTTTCAAATCTTTACCTCAATTAGGTAAAAAGTTAGAGGGGGTGGAAGGGACTTTTGGATCACCCTGTATGAACGTATTTATGCTTAAAGGAACTATGTTGCACGCAAACCATATGTACATAGTCTCTTTTAGCATAAATACGTCCAATTCTTCCTCCCCTCTAGGATATGGTAAACTTGACGGGGTGGCTACCACTCCTTTATCAGTGTTAGCTTCCACCCTGCGGCGCGCGGCGTGCCTTATTGTGCGTCCAGCGAGACAGAAACCTGTTTCCACATCGTTTTAATTAAATCACGGGCAAAGGAGGAGCTTGGATATATCTTGCTATACCCCTGACGCCTTTCACCTGACAATCTCCACAGGTTTTACCCCTCGGCCTCGTAATTGAACTACATGTTGCCATAAGGGATTACTGTCGCCGGCTCATTTCAAAAATAACGTATTCCCGTATTCCCTAAGCAGATACGTGCTTTCATGAATGAGCCAAAATCCGTACAGTTCCTGCTTGCAAAATAAAGACTGAGGCTGCCCTGCCATTAGCCTATATTTTTCCTATTGAGCTGTCGATCAAAATTTTCCCGTACTTTGACAGTTCACCTTTTACATCGATTTTTCCTTTGGCTTTGGATCCTTTTGATACGTTTTTTGGACTGCTAAATATATGAGTTTAATAAGAATCAGCCTTACGACCTTTGTCGTTGCCGAATTTGCTCTCATATTTGATAAATCGAACAAGAAAAATATGCAACATTCTGGACGGAAGTGTTGTGAATATCTATGTGTATATATGCTTTTTAAGGTGAGAAAATTTCACATAGAGTTTTTCACTTTAGAGCAATTTGCGTTATTTTCGGTAGAACCTTTGATTTCTTGGTTTTTTATCCTTGTGAGAATTCTGCAAATCCTAAAAAAGATTCCAATGGTCTCAGCCTCAATATTTGATCGCAGAAAATATTGAAAACAGGGATTTTCTTTCCATATTAAAGTAATAATTAATTTTCTAGAAATTCTCTGTGAATATTTGTCTTTTGTCCAAAAATAATCAAGGAGTCATACTGCCGTGCTAAGGAAGAACGCCGTATATGAACATTCGAGAGTTCCGAAATTTTCCTTGATAAACCATGTATTTTTGACAACATCCATGAATATTTTTCCTTAAAATTTTCAGATATTTCAGATTAAATTGCGTGCATAATTGTCTAAACTTTTTGGAATTTAATATTCACAATTTTCGTGGTAAATTCGGTTTTTATTGGAAGAACCTTGACGACGTTTGAAAGGCTCATACGACGTTTTTCATTAGCAAGGTAGCACTATGGTTCTTACATTTGTGTGTGTAAAAAAAAAAAAAAAAAAAAAAAAAAAAAAAAAAAAAAAATTGCAATAAGGATACACGTTTTTTGACTTTAGCCCTGGCAATATGTTTTTTAATGTGTGTTTCGCTCGGAGGTTTGACTCCATCACTGACATCTGGGTTGTATTTCTCATGTTACGGGTTTCGCCGCACAGTGAATTGAGTCACTTGGAAAAGTTAGGAAAAAATTTGGAAACTTTAAGAGTTCATAACTCCGTTTATAGAAAATTTTGAGGTTCAAAAAGTGGTTCCATTAGTTTCCTCATAAAATATTCTACAATTACCACCCCTCGGAATTTCAAATGTGACGAAATAGACATCAAAATTTGCAGTTTCAGTCAAAAATTTTATGTTCGGCCTCTCTAATTGACTCGATCCACTGTGCGGCGATGTCTTTTTGCATAACAACCTCCGTCTCGTGTCACCGGGCTGATCTCTTCATTTCAACCTCGGCGGTCCCGATCGATTTACTCGCTTTTTCTTCGTTCCCTGGTCCCTGCGATCGCGCAATTCTCCGAACATTGATTCCGGGATCCCGGCTTCGTTTGCCGGCACTGAAGCTTTGTTTCAATTCGCTCAAGCGTCCCAGGATAACGGGCCGAGTTGCCGTTTGTAACGCGAAATTTCGTTCCCACGGGACGGTTTTTTACACCTTTGATCAATCAGCAAATTCTCGGTAACCCAGCTACACGGCGTGCAATCACAATTGCGCCTGTTCGTTCTGAGGTTAGTCGTGGAGTAATTACGAGTATGTATTCAAAATTAAAACTAAACGGTCGCAGCCTACCAGCGCTTTGATTACCGGTAACCTTTTACACGGATGATGGATACGGCTTTTTGGCCTATACCTTAATTTGAGGCGCGAAGCCTCTGAGGGATTGGGCCGCAATGCGGCCAGGGAGCTCAGCTCCCTTACTTACTTTTAATTACAAATATGATTCATACTTAAATTAGCTACCTATATTTATTGCAGGATCTACAATTTCTAGGAGTGCTCTTATCGTCATTAGAATATTATGGTATAGCTAGAAAATCCTGTGATAGGTGCCAAAATTGGCTTTCTAACAATATAAGTAGGTGCAGTCATTCCATGTCCGTCAAAAATTCCGGAATTCGGAACTTTTTTGTTCCAATTTCTCCCACTCTTTGACCGTCAAAAGTTCCGTGATTCCATCCTTATTTTATTAAAATAGTGATTCCTCTCATACACCGGAAAAAAACACATTGGATCTAGAATCCAGACTCTTAAAAACATAGACAAGAAAAAGTACTCTTGATTCAATCAGAATCTAGCTTGAATCAAGAACCAAGCCTCTTAATGTAAGCGGATTTCGTTTTGATTCAAGCAAAAATCTGATTGAATCAAGAGTATTTTTTCTTGTCAATGTTTTCAAGAGTCTGGACTCTAGATCCAATGTAATTTTTTCTCAGTGTATCTTACATTTCCGTTCAATTTATGCGCGTTTTACTGTTCCCAGTGGTTCGATCCTTTCAAACTTTAATACAGCAACAGTTCAGCGCTCTAGAATTCCGATGAATCGGGTTTTAGTCTTTTCCCCATTGAAGTATGATGTAAGTGCCAGGAACAAGTTCGTTGCCTTATTCATGATCTCTTGATTAGAATCTTAGCCGCGAGCTTTTTCATCAGGGATCGGTTTGACTCTGAAAGCGATAGTATCCGAGTGAAAATTATTATAAAGAGCGCCAAATTCTTGAGAAACCGCCGAGACCTGCCGTCACTAAAGAGGGCGCGTTGAAGTTCGTCGAAAGTTGAACTTTTCGTTGTATAAAGAAAAGCGCAGTCAAGGGAACTACCCGCGCCTAACCACCGGACGGCCGTGGTGGAGTATTTTTGATTTACTGAAAGTCATCAAAAGTCCATTCCAAATTTCCAGGGAAAGTTTCCGGAAGAATAGCTCGGCTTTTAAAGCCCTCCCCCATCCCCCAATTCAACAGCCTCGTTTGCATGATTGCTCGAGGATAGTTAGGATAAGATGCTCCTTCAGACTTCATCAGCATTTTGAATAATTTTTAGAGCTGTTCAGAAAAGACGGCAGAAACACCAAGTTTCGTGTTTTCGGCTTTAAGAGCTCACATTGTGTCCCGAGTTACGCTTTAGCATTGTTTAGCATCAAAGCTCAATACCAGTTTTTCGCCTAATTCACGGAAAAAGAAACTTCGTGCATGGGACCCGAGGTTGAGGTCATGTGGACCTCTGAAGTTTTCTGAT